ATAGGGAATTTAGAAATCAATGGGCCTCTTCACCATAGGGGCGTGACTAACCATCCCCACCCAGTCCTCAAATAGGCCACGCTCAGCTTTTTAGCGCAGAGCAATTTCCCGGAGTCTTCACGGAGACTTCAGGGTTGTCTACCGCTGACGAAGCTTCTGTGAGAGAAGCGAAACGTCCTTTTTTGTTTTGTCCACAGGTACAGATGACGACTGACAGAACCCTTTCTACGATGGAACTTTCCTGTACGACTGAGAGCCTCCACAAGCATTATTGTTGATTACATTTCACAATTTGAAATTTCACTTTTGATTTTAGCGAGGCTCATGGAAGTTGACCTGCTTTATTTGCTTTTGCGAGCCACAGACAGTAAAATGATGTGGTGGACCAGATCTGGCCCCCGGGTCTTGAGTTTGACACCTGTGAGAGCGAGTTCAATTAACCTGCCATGCATGTTTTTGGAATGTGGGAGGAGACGGGAGTACCTGGAGAAAACCCACGCAGGGGAGAAACATGCAAGCACACAATCGGAACCCTGTACCTCTGCACCGTGAGGCAACGTGTGCTATCCAATCGCCAACCGTGCCGCCCTGTCTTTGTAGTGCATTCCATTAAATATACATGATTTGCAAATCATTGTATTCAGTTTTTTTATGTTGAACACAACAGACCAACTTCATTGGAATCAGGTTTGTGTGTATTAGACTGTGCATGATCTCTCTCTCCCCCCCCCCCTACAGTAAGTACAACCCTGCTTTGTAATTTGAATACACACCTATGCAATGTGTGACACTGCAGCTCTTGACTATTTGTCCAGCAGATCTCTCCATACACTCCTGCTTCTCGCTTGTCCTCCTCCACTGGACGTTCCTCTTCCTGTTTCCCTTGGGTTTGATTAGTTTTCACATTAAATAAAAAAAGATACTGTACTGAGAAGTTGTTCATGTGCTCAAGTCTATGAAAAATTCAATAAAACCTGCTAGCAAAATTGCTATTAGCCACCTATCCAGCATCAAAGAAGAAATACATATTGTCGTTCTGCCTGCCGGAAAGCTTTGAATGCCTTATGAACAATGGTGTGAGGGTCACATTAAAAATACTCCAAAGCAATGTCTGAAGATCATGGTTGGGACTTGAACCCATCTGTCCTCAACCTGGCACAGTTTCAAACAGTGACTCTTACCTGTCAGGCTTTCCAGCCATTCATTTTTCATCTTTTCGGCCCAATACAGCAACTCACTAACCAGGGTCTTCCGCAGGATATTGTGGTCACGTAGGCTGGGATAAGTTACACTATAAAGCTAATCGGGAAACACATTTTCAAGAGTTGCACAGCTCATTCATATTGTGTTTTACAACTCGAAACAGTCAACAAAATTGTATGACTAAACTGTCCATGGCCATGCTGCTGCCTTGTAAGTCTACTTACCAGCGTGTACGGGAAATGATCTTCTGCATTGTCAGCTAACATGTGGCCATCTCTGTTCATGGGCAGCCTGTGAAACACACCAATCTGGGTGCAAAAGCCGATACTCTCCTCGTGGCCTTGGGGAGCTTGTCCCACACCGGTGAACTCTGCATTATAGCCATATTCCAAACATACATTCCGGGACCTGGAAACAAACTCTGATTTCAGCTTTTATCGCCCATTCAATCTTGCAATAAAATTAGTATTTTTCTTCAAAGAGTACTCTCAGACATCTCAATTAGTCGCAGGGCATGTTGTCCACATCAAGTAAACACCCTACCCGAGTACACACATCCCGGTTTCCGAATAGGGAAAAAAAAAAGATGGCTGAAATGAACTCATTTCATACATGCCATAGTCCACAGAATGACGTCAAATATTAACTGTTGAGTCTATTTGAGCTCCAGTACTCACTCAGCTGCTAACCCAAAATAGCTTCAGAGCACATTCTCACAATTTAATTACAGGTTAGCGCATTGCTCAACATTTCTAAAGTTTAGTGTTTAAATCCTGGCACAGGCATTTTCCTGTGGAGTTTGCAGTTCTCCACGCGCTAGTGTGGGTTTTCTCCAGGCACTTAAGCTTCTACCCACAATACGAAGTCATCCATCCTAGGTTTAGTGAAGACTCTCAAGTGTCGGGCCCGGCCAATAGAAATTTATTCTCCCAAATATTGGAATCAGCCTAAAAAAATCAATTTCATTAGGACCCTATTAAATTGTCCATTGATATGAATGTTGTCTATACGCGCCCTGTAATTGACTGGAAACCAGTCCAGAGTTTACCCCAATTCTCACAGCAGGCATCTGCTGCAGCTCACCCGTGACATGAATGGATGGATGAAATGAATTTGGAAGAAAAAACATTTTCTTCTCTCACATTCTACACACCCTAAAATGAAAAACACTTGATTAGCAGGACATGGATGTATTTATAATAATGAAGAAAAAAAAAAAAAAACAACAACAACAACAACATACCAGGATTGGAACTCCACTCTGGTCCACTCAAACTTGTGGTCACTGTGCCTGAAACCAGACATTCCTGGAAAAAGCCTGTTGAACTCTGAATTTGGGGTTGTGATGATCACCATTTGTGGAGCCATGTATCCAAAGACCACCTCAGAAAACTGGTACAAATCGTCAAGAGGGAGATGCTCAATGCTGACAACACCCAAGGAAGGGAGGGGATTAAAAAAAAAAGCAATTACATGATGTAAACAAACAAGACACACAAATTGGTAGATCTAAATGACCAAAATTTAAAAAAAAAAAAAAAAAGTTACAGCTCAATACTGGTCACCAAGTCGAATCCTCTGAAGCGAGCATCTTTTTGTGTGACAGATCCCTGGAACAGCTGCACACACAATTGATGAAGAGGTGGCTGCAGATAATCAGTCGCTATAGGAGCCAGTCCATGCCTGTGGGAGGCCATTGTTGGCATCAGAAAAACTGATTCAAATTTGAATGCAAGTGTTTATACTGACAGCATATGACTTGTGACACTGTATCTGCCATCACAAAACGTTATTCAAAAGTTGAATCATCTTAAATGCAGCTGTGAACACAAGGTCATTGGTCAGTGGCTAAGCATTGTCCATGAGAGGATACATTTTCCTGGAATGAGAGGAAGCCGGAGAACATGCAAACTCTACACAGGGCAGGCTGACCTTGAGATTTGAACCCGGAACCTCTAGCCTGGGAGCCAAATGGGCTAACCAAGCACATATTGTGTTTATTGTTATAGTATGCAGTGATCAGGCTTGTTTTAATATTTGCTCTGGTCTATTGAAATACATAGCAAGGACATACTTACTAAACCTCCATGGAAATCGGTTGAGGAATACTGTGTTTATGTCGCAGGCACACTTACTTCTTTTTGCTCAGCTTGGCGCCATTAATGTCAACGCCGGCCAACAATTCAATGTGACGGTAAAACCGAAGTTTTTGTAGGAGGCTGCACTCAGCGCAACCCAAATCCACCACCTACACAAAAGGTAAAATGTCTAAAACGATTCGGTAATGTCGATAGGCTGCGGGTTGTTATCGTAGAAATTCGACGATAGGGACGAAACCATGCTCCCCCAGAAGTTCACCTTACTAGAGTTCATTGCAAGCAGGTGCTTGATCAGCTGGGCAAAAGGATGAAATCGTACCTTTTTGGGGTTATTCTTCCTGACAAAGTCAACGACAAAGTCATGTCTCTGCCTATGAAGCGACGGTTTGAAAATGGGATTCATTTTGTCCCCCGCCGTTTAGTCGTTTTACTTCCAGCTGTATTGACCGAGTTAGAAATTGTGATTGACACTCCTAACGCTAGATGGCGATGTTGAGTTTTAGATCAACTGTTTTTTTGTTGTTTGTTTTGGTCTTCAAGCAAGAAAAATAATTTCAAAATCTAATATTTGACAGCTATGTGTGATCAGTAAATTTTGATTTTCGTGTCACCATCTATGAACATGTACCACCTAAGAGGACGCTAGAGTGGGGGAAAATCCATCCAACGATCCATTTTCGTCAGCCAATAGCAAAAGGCACATCCAGGATACACCAGTGATTGGTAAAAATAAATCTCACAGTCTGCATTAACAAGACTTCTGTCATATTTGTTGTACCCATTTAAAACTATTTTTTTCATCTATTCATTCACTTTTATTTTTCATTCCGTGACCCTAATAATAATTGATTTTTTGTACATAATAGAAATAGTTGTAAATGTTGCATGCTTAAACCAAAAACATGGTTAAATCAACAACGAAATGAATTGTTTTATGATTAAAATATGATATTTTACATGTATATGCTAATTGTGTAGTGGTACACTCACCTGACTTGTGTGCGGGCAGCGGGGCAGTGGTTCCAGTACGCATGTGCATGAATGGCTGTTTGTCTCCATATGTGCCCTCCAACTGACTGGCGACCAGTTCAGGGTGTAGTCTACCTTCTGCCTGAAGTAGAAGCGCCCCCTCGCCCGAAAATGGATGTACGGATATTTGACACCATCTCATATTTTAATATTTTTTGCAACTTTCAAAATGGATTGCAAACACCCCTCCCCCCTAAAAAAATCTTAATATTTGTTAAAACTGTGAGCATAAAGAGGCGTTCACATTAAAAAACAACAAACAAAACTTTGGGGTGGTTACCACTTGAGCACCTGAGTTTGTCATTTGGTGCTCTTTTTTTGCATGACTCCTGACCTCATGGGTGAACTTAAACACTTACATCACATGTGGGGCAAAGTATGGCCAGCACCACATGCGCTCCATCTCCAGTTTCTGACCAGCCCTCTCAGATTTTATGAAATCAAAATAAAATGTAAGGCATGTTTTGGCTATGAATTGTAAGTACAGTATTCGGAATACTGTACTTAATACTTACAGTATTCAGGAATACTGTATTCCCCGAAGAAACACAACAGAGTCATCAACTTTAATAATACCTATATCAATTACAATACATGCACGGTAGCCGGGTGCATGTATTTTGCAATTAACCTTTTTTGTGTTCCTGCGAATTAAGTTAACCGAAACATGTCTTATGAAAACCATGCTGGACACTGCGGCTCCTAGCTCATTGTTTAACATGAAGTACACATGAAATAACTGTCTTTATTGTTGTGCTTTTTGAAACTACATGTTCGTTTTTAGTAAGTTTAACATACAACTGTATTCCGAGGCGGTGACCAAATGAGCTTGGAATGTAGACAGAATTTTGCCGCAAAAACATAAGGAATAAAAGTATGTTTTCACATTTTCCCCACATAACAGAAAATCATGAATAGGTGAGTTTTTCTGCTCATAATAGATTACAGATTCTTAAAAAAAAAAAAAAAAGCCGGGGATGGTCAGACCATGGCTTGCGAACAAGCTGCATGCTACACCATGGATCACACTTCTCTATCCACAACCATTTGGAGGCCTCCTTGGTGGCCTTGCTAATGTTTATGGTTTACACTCCTGCCCACCTCTGATACCAAGGAGGCAGAGAACTCGGTGCAGGGACTGCACTGGGAATACCACTTTCAATTGGCTCGCGTCGGGCTCGCCATCAATTTTCCCTACTGGACTTGACAAACTTTGAGTACACCTGTTCCTACTTGTGGTCCTTTCTCAATCCAGTCAAAACTAACACTTTTGACTTAGGCCGAACAAGTAGTGCAGATGTGGCAATGTGCTCCGGAAACATTAGCTGTCTCCCAAGGTTCACACGCAGCTGCTAGTCGCGAGCAAAGCCACTGGAGTCCTCTGCTGTGTTGGAGGTTTCAATACTGCTCTGATAAAGCTCATGAAAATCCTTGCCAGGAGCTGGTGACTGCTGCCAGTGCAGATGGCTAAACGTCACACAAAAAAATTGTACATGTTTTCATGTTTTAACCGAACACAACATTTAAGCACTATGTACCAGTGTATTGTTCCTTTGGGTTTAATTCTTACTGGTAAAACCTCCTTTGGCAGCAATAACCCCAACCAAATATTTCCTATAGTTGCAGAGGTTTTGTACCATTCCTCTTGACAAAACTGCTTCATTTAAGCCATATTTGAGATATTTCTGGTGCTAATCACTCTCTCGAGGTCATGCCACAGCATCTCAGTCAGTTGAATTTCAGCAGTCTGACTAGGCCATTCCAGATGGCATAATTTCTTCTGTTGAAGCCATGCAATTGTTGATTTACTTCTGTCCTTTGGCTCATTATCCTGCAGCATCACTGATTTGCTGTAAGTTTCAACTCACAGGCAGATGGCCTTTAGTTCTCTAAAGAAAATGTCTTAATACACTTGGGAATTCATTTTTCATTTCATTTTCCTCATTGATAGCAATTCATCCAAGCCCTGAGGTAGAAAAGCAGTCCTAAACCATGATGCCCCCTCCACCTTTCGGTAGCAATGGGACAAGGTTTTGATGTTGGTGTACCATGGCTTCCCCCCCAATCATATACTGCAAAACGGGGGTGCCCAAAACTCGGTCCTCCAGGGCCGCTGTCCGGCCTGTTTTCCAGCTCTCCCAGGAGCAATACACCTGATTCAAATAACCAGGATCTTTCTGCTTCTTCAGAGCTGGTTGATGAGGTGATCATCTGAATCAGGTGTGTTGTAGCTGGGAGAGCTGGAAAACAGGCAGGACAGTCGCCCTCCAGGCTTGGAGCTGGACATTCCTGCTGTAAAACATTGTGAGCTCCTTCGAAACAACTCAATTTTTGATAAATCTGTCAATAAAATAGTTTGCTTTTTGTCTGTGAAGCATCCAGGCTCCCTTTTACAAACTTTAAACCGACAGAAATATTTTTCTGGACAGCAATGGCTTCCACTGCATTGTTCTCCACTGACATCCATTCTTGTTTAATGTTTTACTTATCATAGATTTGTCAGTAGAAATTTTAGCTTGTGCCAGAGATTTCTGTATAAGTATTTAGTTGACCAGTGTTCAGGAGAGTAGCAACAGGAGACAGGAACAGGCACTTGCAAATCACCACCCTCCTCCTCAACCTATTTAGTGAGATATGAAATGAGCGAGGTTGCTTGCTGATGCATTTTGCATCTGGCCTGTGTATTTGAACAGGAAGTATGCAAATCCAGCAATTCTGACAATGAGATTATTAGCAATAGTGAATTCAAAAATTGAATAATTATAAAGAAAAGACCAGAGAAAATGAGAGATCTTTTATCAGGTATTGTTTATTTTTACTCTTCATGATGCAGGTGAGGCACAAGTCCCTACAAGGAAACTTTAACCAACACTGCCAATCTTTCTCCCATTGGTTGGACTGTGGGTGTGCTGAATCCTGACTTCCATTAGCTCCTGGAGTTGTTATTTGCTTTTTCCGCCCGGCTCTATGGACGACTGCATCCCCTCAATTTTTTTTTTTTTAAATACATAGCTTACAGTATGTGATTGTTTGTGCAGTTTTAGTCTTAGCAGTGTATGTCAGTTATTGATGTGACTTAGATGAAAATCAGATTACAATTGTTGAGGAATTTAGCCTTACTATGAGTACTATTGGTACCAGTCTCTCACCTGAACATCTGTTTAAACTCACTCTTAAAATAAAGGAGGAAGTTTGTATCTTCTTCTCCCTTGAGTGAAAACAGCCCCCTAGTGTGTTCTTTTGCATCCCCCACCTCAGGAAACTCCCTGGTGGCGGTCACCTTCCCCTGAGGAGGAACTCTTATCTCAAAATTTATGCACAGCAGGAGAGCTCTGGACTTTTCAGTCCTGGACTTCTCATGCCAAGATCGAATTGCAATAACCTTCCTTTGGCTCTGATTTTTTCATAAGGGGCATTACTGTCCGCCTCTCATGAACATATTATCCCGATATAAACGTGAGTCTGTATTTTTCCTTTGCTTCCTGACGCAATCTGAAACTCTCAGAAGCCTGAATCGATTTGTATTGCGTTGTGATAAACTGCAGAAAAGATGGCGTGGTGTTGGGTCTTTGTAGCACCTTGTATAGAAAGTATAGAACTTGTGTCCAAGGAGGGCCATGAGGAAAATGGACAGATCCCCTCCACACAATCCATGACCATTTTCTACAAAAATCCAGGAAATCGAAATATCTGTCTGTCTGTCTTTCTATCTACAGTATTTGTCTTTCTGTCGAATATATAGAATAATAAAGACAAAGCGAGAGAAACACAAATGTTGATCGCCATAATTTTGACCTGTGTGGGATTAAGTTTTTCCTTTTTTAAATAAACAAACAATAAACAAAATACTCGGGAATTGTTTTATAGACATAAATGTGCATTGAGTGTGCAAAACCCAAATAACACATTTTGAAGTGTTAAATTCATCTCGATAAAAAGAGTGTACAATATATTGATGGTAACAAAGGCACTCATTAACGTTGACTTTCAGACTCTGGAGGCTTCCTACCTGTAAGATTTCCTCTAAATATGGCTCTGAATGGATAGGATGCCAAATTCTATTTTTTCAATTTCAAATGTATAAAATCATGAGATCGGTGTAGAAGAACAGCACAGTTGTGACAGTAAGTGGTTATCATTGACGTTTCAAACATGGGGACCGTGAGGTGGAGAAAAGTCATGATGATTTTAAGAGATGGGCTCACTGAAAGGGGGCCTAGAAAATACTATATACTGTATATTTTCAGTTTGTGGCAGAAGTATTGAAGTGGTGGCACACAGAGGGATATTTTTGTTCAGAGGACCCCAAATGAGTGGTGGTGCACCTGGCCTCACGTCAAGGGTTGTGGATTTGAACGTCAGCTCGGCCTGGAATATAAAGGGTTGAATGGGAGATTTCAAATGGCAAGCTTTTAGGCATATGTGCATCTCCATCAATTATACAGATACAGTCAAAATACTTCTGAAGCTCCTCCGATGCGTTGCAACAAGATTCATTTCAATTACGATGCAATGCAATTCACTACAAGAATGATGTACTGTATTCCAGTCTGATTCACTTGAGCCAACCAATACTGTGAAAAAGATCTTGGAAAATCAAACGTAGCCAAAATCTTCTGGAGATGTAATGTGACTACCCTGACATTCATTTTTACGCTCACAATAATACATTTGGCTGAGTCCTGCGAGAGCTCTGAGGAGATTTGGCTGCAGTGGAGATGAGATAATATCAATTACACATGAGAGAAAAGTGTTATTTTCCAATTGGAATGACTTTTAAGGAATACATCTCAAAATATAAACTGTTCGTGACAATTTTCCAAATGAGGCCATCACATTGCAGGCACTCAGGGCTCAATGCATATTATATCTCTGCAAGCTACTGTAAGAGCAGGTCAACTGTACCCACTTGTGCTTTATCATAATTAAGTCCTCGATTGGGCATGAGTGTTGGGTGCTTGGTTGTATTACGATTCCATAATGGAATGTTTTTCAGATACACAATCATCATGAAACGATCAAAAAGACCAACACCGAAAATTAAACATGGACAAACGATAAGATGCCTAAACAACTGGTGAATATTATGTGTCCAAACGAGGAGGGAAGATGCTGATTGATAATGATGAGGAGTAGGATGAGGATGAGGATGAGGATGATGATGATGAGGAGGAGGAGGAGGAGGAGGAGTTACCGTGAGATAATTACTAATATGACAGCAGGCCGTGGCTACAAAATTACACAACACCATTTTAAATGCCAAACCTGTGCCAGTTGTTTTTTTTAATGTTACAAACATCCTACAAATTAATGTGCACTATATATTTGGAGTACTTACCTTACTGATCCACACTTCTTTTGCCTCTGTAAATCACTGCAAGAAAGTAGATTTATTGATTTGGATTTTCTTTTTAAAATGCAATCATATCTCATCATTTTTGAAGACAAATAAAATAGCAAAACCAAGATGAATGTATTATATGATTAGTGGAAGACTTTACAATTCCTGATGTAGTTACAAAACACACTAACCTGTACCGACATCACTTCCTGTGCAAGTGACTGTAAGAGGCAAAATAATATAAAATCAGCCAAAAATGTTTCATCTCTTTTAGACACAAAGCTCTAAATTTAAGGTAACGATAACATTGACGAGAGTTTGGACAGCGTCATGCCACCATACCTGAATAAACCCTTTCAGCACAAAATGAGACTTTGCTGCCCTCTGGTGTCAACGGAGCTACCACTATATGATAAATGTCTCCGCATTGGACGTTTGCAATATCGCAGCTGCTCTCTCCCGCAGATGTAGTACAGTTGTAGGAGTTGTCACTGCCCATGATTTCGGCTATGTAACGGTGGTTGCCGCCAGTGGTGCGCCAGTGCAGCCGCAAAGAGTTTCCAGCCATCTTGTACACCCTGACGCCTGATGGACAACATGCACCTGCCAGACAGAGACAATGAGGCAGTGACCAGCATATTGTGATTCTGATATTTAATGGAAAGAAAAAAAATGTTTTCATCTAAGAAATCAATTTGTTATATATGTGTCAGTAAAAAGACGAATGAATGATGTCAGAAACATCTTTTTGACCTTAAAATTGTCAATTCAGTCTTGATTGTTAACTGTGCCTTTCTGAACACAACTAAAAAAAAAGAAGGCTTAGCTCACACTAGGTCACAAAGCCAAAATTGTTGGGAAATAGCTACACTGCCTGTGTATAAATAAAGGTTGCTAATTAACATAGACTCCATGCAATGGCTACAACTTGGGTTTCTGAAAGTGTCTTTTGACGCTACCAGATGTTTTTATTGTCAACAGCACAAAATAGGCTGTTCAGGCAGTAATGTACTACATTAGGCACCCTGTACCCTGGATTCCTCCAAAATCATGTTTGCTGGGCTAACGGAGAACTCTAAATTTGATTTTGGGTGTGAATATAAGTGTGAACGGTTGTCTGACTCTGTCGGTCCTGTGACTAACCTATGGCTAATACAAGCTGTACCTTGTTTTATTCACCCAAAGTCAGACGGTACAGTCTACATCATACCTTTGAACCTGCATTTCAGGTGAAAGAACTGTCTGGAAATGCAATGACTCACTGGATGAGAAGCCCTGGTATGTGCAGTTGACACTGCGTCCACTGTGGCTGAAAGCCTCCATGGTGACTGTGTAGTTTGTGCCACAAGTGATGCATCCCATGAGGCAGTGGAAGTCCTGGGTGTGGCAGCTTGCATGACCACGCGGTGATGTCAACGAGGTCAAAAATGTATAAGCACCTTTCGAGGGAGACCATGAGACATTGGTCATTGCCTGAGTGACTTGGTGTACAGTGGGACTGGGGGGACAACAGGGTTCTGTGGGAGGAGAAAATGTGTAGAGTGACGAACGACAAATCAGCATTGAGCAGCAATGATCCTGCCACAAAGTGTCAATTCTTTACCTGTTTCTAGTGTTTCATAGTAACTGGATAAACTCTGTCCAGCAGCACTTGTTGCTAGGACAGTGACCTCATAGATGGATCCACAGGGCAGACCTGTGATGTCACAGCTACTTCCACTCGAAGTGCAGGTATGTGTGCCATCTTCTCCCACTGCGCTCACACTGTAATTGGCAGCACGGTTGTTTGCTGTCCAACTTACACTGACACAGGAAGAGTTTTTTGGATCAAGCTGGATATACGTGGGCATGCAGGGGGCTGGCCAGGAAAAAGTAAAAGATAAATATTTTGAGTGATAACCAACACTATGCTGCCAAATGTATCCGCGAGTGCACAGGTGTCAATCCCAGGGCCCGGGGGCCAGAACCGGCCCACGACATCATTTTATGTGGCCCGCAAAAGGCACATCAGGTGTGTCAACAACAGTTGTTTCGATCAAAATGTCTTCAGTTTTAACACTGAGATTTCGATGGGATTTGTTACCACCCACCCCTTTCAAACTAATTTCAAAATAGCTTAACACATAATCTACTGGTGTCTGATTTCAAAATTAGTTGCCCATCCATTTGTTGTGATGACACAAGGCGCTCATACATTTAGACGGGTTCACAGGTTGTTAGAGGAATTTATGAGCAAAATTGTATCATGTTTAAAGTTTCATTTAATTTGGGCTAAACGTTTGGGTGCGTATCCAGCACCTCCAAATGCCTGTGCACATAGGCGCCGGCCACCTGGCCGGAGGGCTGTTGAAGTCCACAATTAGCACGTCAATGCAGGTGGGCAATCACAGGGGAGGGGGCGAAACTCGGTCACAAAAGGGGAATGAATAATTTGGGAACAGCGGTTGAACAACAAAAGACGAGTTGAGAACACCCGTCGCGCCCAGGCGACATTTGTCGTCCGCAAAGTCTGCAACATGTTAATTCGATGTAGACCAGACAGAAAAGGCGCCAACGTACTGGTGGTTCAAGTTTAAAAAACAGGTAACCAATCACCACCGAGGGGCCGGACCGGGGGTGCGGTATGCAAATGTCGGGGGCATTAACACTGAGATTTCGATGGGATTTGTTACCACCCACCCCTTTCAAACTAATTTCAAAATAGCTAAACACATAATCTACTGGTGTCTGATTTCAAAATTAGTTGCCCATCCATTTGTTGTGATGACACAAGGCGCTCATACATTTAGACGGGTTCACAGGTATAACAGCCCTCCGATGGAAACCATAACTCCGATGTGGCCTGTGACAAAAATGAGTTTGACACCCCTGCTCTCATAGTAAGTGAAGAATCATGTTACAAGGGTTTAAATTTGTTTTTAATTGACACTACACTAAATTTGTTAAGCACAGTTCAATTGTGTTTAACTCTGGAGTCCAATACATTTGCATTTAATATTTTAAAACTGTTTGTTTTCAACCATTTCGGTACACTTTTTTAACATCATTTTTGTGTATTGCTTTTCAATCGAATCATTCTTTAAGTACATTTTTTCTTCTGTCATTCAGTGCATTGTTCCAGTTCAAACAGTGTATGATATTAGAGTTAGATACAATAAACATTTAAAACAATTTTTAAGAATAAAGCCACTGCCTTATTTTTGATGACCACTTAGGCCGAATTAGTTAATGCATTATATGGTGGTACTTGGAGTGCAAAGCACTTTTAGATGTGTTACTTCGTGTAAAACGTTGGAGAACCACAACACTATGCGCATGCAGGAGTCAAGACGCCATGGCATTATGGGGAAAAAAAATGCCAAATGGAAATTATGCACCTCATAAAACTATCAAAATTACGACTGACTTTGACTTAATTTTTGAATGCATTGAAACAATGTTGGTCAAATGCTAAAAATAAACATGCAAGTCAATACCCCATGGCATTGTGGGGGGTGTTGAGCATTTAGTCTTATGTAAATTTTAACATATTTGCAACAACTAATATTTGCATTCAGTTTGCCAGTGATGTGAGAAAAGATGGCCTTGATAATTCGCCAACATGGCAATCCATACAGCAATGCAAGTACTGCACAGCCCACTTTGCCGACTTTGAGAAAAGCAGCAGATCTTAGCCCGAACAAGGAAAGAAACAGTGAAATGTTCCTGTTCCAGTTCCATTGATCAATTTCTCAATGCTGCATCAAAGTAGCACTGAAACAGAATAATACCATTTATCTTATAAATCATGAGAAATGTTTTTTTTTTGTTTGTTTGTTTGTTTGATTTTACAAATGTGTTTGATACATTTGTGTTTTATTTCACTTTTGGGTTGTTTACAAAAGAGAATAGTTGATCATTGTAACCGACTTTCTCAAAAGATGTACAGTATTGTATTCTAAATGTGACACACATTGAACAATGTACTTTTGATTTATTTTCTTCCCCTTTTGTGTTTCTTTTATTTAGTTCAGAAGGACCAATAAGCGCTACATTTTAGGGAACATCAAATAATTGAACTAGGAATGTATAGTTATAGATGGCCAAAGTTTATTCCCCTGGGCTGCCATTTTTTAAAAAGCTTTATCTCTACTTTATGAAGGATGAGGTAACCTGCAGTCTTATCAAGCCTTCAGTACTTACATTCCTGTGTTCTACACACACAAAATCTTAATTGGAGAACAGATACACAACAATAGTAAAAATAAATTTTTGGATCCAGATTTTAGAGGAAGAGTTCCTGAAACTAAGAACCATTCAAAATATAACCATTCGTTTTCAGGAAATGGGTAATAGTACATGAACTTGAAGTAGTGTACCAATTTTCATTGGTGATTGAGTCATATTCTTCTTCATTCTTTGATTCATATTAGTGCATGTGCGTGGTTCACCTGTGTCTTTGGTGTGAGCTTTGCATCCAAGATTACAGCCACTCATGTCATTGCAGGGTGTCACAACCACACTGTAGGCACTGTCACAGCTCAGGTCGGAGAGGGCGCACACTGGTGAAGTGTCATTGCACAGGATGACTTCTGAAATATCCGCTGCTCGAGTCTCATACAGATCTGTTCCACGAGATGCTGTCCATGTGATCTCCAGAGTTTCCGTGCTCACCAGGGAGACAGATACACCCTCTGGACAACAGGGCACTGACAAAGACATGGAAGACATAAGTTAAGACACAGGTATATTAGGTCCAAATAAAAACATACTTACATGTGGTATGGTTGACATGAGGTCCTTGAGGACTGGAGCCGGCATAGTTGTAGGCAAACACATACATCTGGAACATGTAGCCACATTGGCAGTGGAAGGTGCAGTTGTTGCCGGTAGTGTTGCATGTCTCTTCACTACCGTCACCTCTCTTGATGTAGCCCATGTAGCTATCCGCAAGGGGCTCCATATCCCAGGACAGAGTGCAGTTTCCTTCCACTGACTCCACCAAAGCTAAAGATTTTGGTGGGCAAGGGACTGAGAGGGACAGACACCAACAATCATACATAGTTTAAAAAAATGGAACAATATTGAAATTTTTGTGTTACTATCTAAAGTCTTTGTGGATATCAGCAACAAGGGTGAAGAAATGGTCCTGTGGGAATCAAAGTTGTCATACTCACAGGTGATGAACTCAACAGGACTTGAAGGGTAGCCGGGCCCCGCTTCATTGGAGGGGACAATCTGGATAGTGTGCACCTCTCCACAGCCCACTGGTGAGAGGATGCAGGAGCCGGATGTGGCGTTACAACTGAGGCTCTGATCACTCATCACATAGTATTCTATGTTGCCATAAACCTGCTGATTTAATTCCCATGAGACAGACAGTACAGCCCGGTCGCCAATCATCACCACAGAGACTTCAACGGAAGCCGGCGTCGGAGGTCCTGTTAATACACAAGGACAAGACACGGGGACACATCCAATAATAAACCGGTTACACTGTATGTGTAAAACTGTCCCTGGGACTTCAATTGCCAATAAATACATAGGTTACTGAAGGAGAAACTTGTCATAGTTCTTTTTTTCTGTCATAAACTGAAATAATCAATTTACAACAATTTACTGTAAAGATGTTTTGCAATGTATTCAAATTAGATCAGTTTAGAATCTTGTGCAAGCCATATCTCTGTTACAAGACTCTTTCAGCTAGCCATGTCCAGCTCTGGTCCTCAAGCTCACCACCATGCCTGCTTTCCATCTCTCTGTGCTGCACCACCCCTGGTTCAAATGATCAGCTCATCAGCAAGCTTTGAAGAAGCTTGATAATGAGCCTGATCATTTGAATTTGTTGCAGCAGGGAGAAATGGAAAACAGCCAGGACAACAGCCCTTGAGGACAGTGTTTGGACTTCAATGCTTTAAGCAAATGTAAAATGTGGAAGTGCTTGCTTACGTGTTGTCTGGTTGATGTACAAACTTCCCTCTCCCTTTCGTTCTTCAGCATCCCAGCCATACCCCATGATCATGTAGCGTGAGCCAGCTTCCAGTCCAGAGAGTGCCACGTTTGTGCTGCTGGTGTTGTGTTTCATGGTTGTGTTGGAGAAAACCTCGTACAGGGCCACAGTGTACTGGACAGCACCATCAATCGGGTCCCAGGATATAAAAATGCTGTCATTACTGGGAGAAGAAGTGGAGGGCTGAAGAGGAGGCAAAACTGTGAAGGAGAAGAAACCTTGATGAGATTTTTGGCTTGAACATTCCAGTCGAGGGTCGTGGGTGTGCTGAAGCCTATCCCGGCTGTATTCGAGCAGTAGGGGAGGCACACGCTAAACTGGTTGGAATCCAAACGCAGTGACTGTAACATGAATATTTTCAATTCAAATTGTATCTTCTGGGCAGGATATATACTGCATTGTTCATTAAAAGGGTGGTCAACTAAAGAATTTTCTTAACAATAACATGTTCTAAGCGCCTCCATTCATCTAAACACAACATTCTGATGAACACTGTATGCGGAATATGAGTTAAACAGCAAAATCCACCCGTTTTTAGGTCTCGCAGGAGGCAGTCATTTTGCCTATTTCTGTCAACTGAAAATTACATGACAGTTACTCCATTTATCCATTTTCTAATCCGCTTATCCTCACGAGGATCGTGGGCATGCTGGAGCCTGTCCGAGCCGTCTTCGGGCAGTAGGCGGGGGACACCCTGAACCGATTGCCAGCCACTTGCAGGGCACACATAGACAAAAAACTATTCACACTCACAGTCACAACTATTGACAATTTAGAGTGTTCCATCAAGCTAACATGCATGTTTTTGGAATGTGGGAGGAAAACAGAGTACCCAGAGAATACCCACGCAGGCATGTGGGAGAATGTGCTATTTCCACAGAGAAAGGCCTGATTCAATTCCCCATTATTTTGTTTGTTTGTTCATTTAAAAAAGGAAAAAAAAAAATTTGTCAAACTTAAAGAGTTCGTTGGGCTTTGGAGTTTATGGGGTCTTATTTTCGAATACAGGTCCTGTGCACTCGCCATAAAAATGGCCGCAATTTCATTTTCCTGCCCGGGCAAGTCTAGTTGTCCATGTTTGGGACAGCGTTGCGCCTCATTGGGCATACTAGCGCATGGAGTTCTCACACTCTCGACCTGACAATGTGGTCAAAGAAAGTAAAAAGGGGCACATCTTCATTTTCGTCTAGTTTAGCATGGTTGTGAATTTGGTAGACCATGCTGCATGTCGCTAGACATTCCAGGGGAGAGAGGGTGCTTTGTATTACACTCCTTTGGCACACCAGCCAATTTGCTGAGAAAACAAGACTCAATTTTAGACTAAAACCATGTCTAACTTGTGGCAAAGGTGATGAAATGCAATTTTGGTACATTTGATTGAGATGCAGGTAGGTTCGGCGCTCTTTCATATGACTATAGGGACAATCTCTCTGAATCATTGTATCAATTATTTGAATGAATTCCTGTCATTATCATTTATATTGGGGGCAGTTCAAGTGGATGCACAGTGATGAGGACAAGGGCTCTGAGAATACTCAACCTGTGTGAAAATAGCAGAAAAATCACAGGTATCAAAATGTTCAACTTGATGTACAATAGGGATGACCATTGCCCCCCTAGACGACATGTAGCTCTGCCCTTAGCTGTGTAAGACTGTCAACAGTTCCACAGTTCGTATTGACAAATCCTTTTCAAAAACTTTTGGGTGCGTAAGGCCATTTTTCAATTCCATATATTCGTTATTATATTTTTCTGTGCTTCTGGCAAATTTGAAGTATATTGGTTGAGAGATGCGATTGGCTGGCAACCAGTTCAGGGTGTACACCGCCTACTAACCGAAGACAGCTGGGATAGGCTCCAGCACACCGTGCGACGCTCGTTAGGATAAGATGATCAGAAAATGGATGGATGGATCTTGGTTGAGAGATAGACACATTTTTGGGCTAACAGTGTGCCAGGTGCCCGTCATGTCACTCTGACCTGCCATGATGTCTCATATTTTCCATCACTTCTGATGATAATTTCATCATTTTTTTAACGACAGATACCTCCTGACTGTGGTGTATTTGTTCCATATTATGAATTATAAGAACCATGGAGTGTTTGTTCATTTTCAACTCTCATTTAAAGTATTATATTTCCTTTAAGTGTTTTAGTTTTCATCCTTGGACTCCTCATTTCCAGTTTTCGGTTTCAGCCAAGACCTTTAATTTCAGTGCATCCCTAGTGAAAACATGAGTTGGTGTTTCTGCTCATAGATTAGATGTGGCCCCCTGGGTAAGGGTGGAGGTGAGTGGCAATGGATATGTGCTGAATATGAGATCAACTCTTTGTTTTTCACATCGAGGGCTCAGGTAAAGTTACCACCAATGAAGGACAATCCCGGAAGGCTGCTGTCATATTTCTCGTATGATGAAAACCTAGAGTTGCTCAAACATTGTTGATGTATCAGGTGAGTGTGATTGTGTGCTATGAAACAATAGAGCAGATCCAATGACCTCAACTGAGAATGGGGTGTGAAGTGACTTTTTTTAAACATATAATAAACATATTTTCTGTGTTATTTGCATTGATAAAGGTGACCAGACATGAAAGTAGGAAAACTGTACCTGTCTTTCCAGTTACAGAGGGAGAGGGCTGGTTTCGACCTCCGCTATTCACCGCCATAATGCTCAATGTATACGCAGTGTACGGTGTGAGAGAACTGATCTCAGCTGGGGAGGAATAAATTGTATCCTCTCTATAAAATCCATCATAACTCTGGATCCGTACAATGTAATGAGTTGCTCCTGTGACCATGTTGAATTCGACTATCAATGTTTGGCTGTCCTTTGACTTGACTTTCTGGATGGGATCCATCACCTCAGGAGCTGAAATAGTAGAAATAGTTTTGATCAGGTACATTTAGGGAGGGGAAACGAATGCAAATATGTCATAATACACTTGCCATCATCTTAGAAATGTACTAACCTCATCAGATTTTAAAATTACAGTAAAAAAGTATGAGATCAAGTCATACGTTCTCCATTTTGGGAAATATTACATGTCATATTACTGATCTGTTTTACCACGTAAATGTCACCGTGCCCTCCAAAACGTATGTGTTAACCTCACCTGTTAATGACTGAACAGTTATAACGTCCAGTGGGACTTGGTTAATATCCAAAGGTTGAACCGTGAAGACATATAAATTGTTGGGGGACAGAGATTTGACAGTGCCCATCACTGTGTTTTCACCAAATTGGGTGAAAGCAATGACGTCTTGCGAGCCTTCTCGGGACACTGTGATCAGGTAGGAGGTGGCTCCAGGATACCTGTTCCATTGGAGAGTTGCGCTCCTGGATGTTTGCGTGAACACCGATGCTGTGAACACTGAATGAGGAGGTGAAACGAGTGTGTCACACACACAACAAAATATTTTTCAATTATAAAACATTTTTATTTTGGTGATTGTATTGTGAGATATGAGTGGTGATGTACTGTCATGGATTACATCAATGTCAGTCGAAAAATAATAACTAATAAAAATACAATACCTGTTTGAGCTGAAGCCTGTAAATTCCAGTGAAAAGAAATTATTCATAAACTCGCTTTCAAACAGTTCGTGTTAACATCTGTCAGTACATAACTTTTTATTCTTGCTTTTTGTCCTTTTCATCAAACATATTTAGTAAATAAACAGAACATTTCTTACCTGTGTGCATATACACACCAAGACAAAAGCAACCAAACCCTTCAACGTACCCATTCTTCACAACTCACTTTTCTGTTGTAAATCTCTCAGCTAGGTTTCAATTTAAAACTCGGTCTCCCTCTGAACTGTTTCACCCTTCTTAAAAACTAATCTGGTATCTGTGTTGGTTGTAATTCATACACCATGTCACGCCTTTTTAGCCTGCATATCCAATCATCGCAAAGCAAACAAATGACAAAGAAACTGGACCTTACCTGGCTTGAGGCTATGTAATAATAATACAATACATCCTGATTTATATAGCGCTTTCACAGCAGCTGCAGCTGTAACAAACAGTTAACATAAAGTTAATAATAAACACAACACATCACAATAATAATGATTAATTACCAAGCCACTTTATCAATAATAATAATAATAATAATAATAAATTACCAAACTACTTTATAAATAGAATAACAATATTAATATTAATAATAATAATAATAATCGTAATAATAATAATAATAATAATAAAAGCTCTGGCTTTCCTGTGTGGAGGTTGCATAGTCTGCGCGTGCCTGTGTGGGTTTTCTCCGGGTACTGCGGTTTTCTTCCACATCCCAAAAACATGCATGGTAGGTTCATGGAACACAAAATTGTCCCATGGTGTGATTGTGAGCAAATGGTTGTTTGTCTATGTGTGACCTGCGATTGGCCTGAAGACGGCTGGGATAGGCTCCAGCATGCCCCGTGACCCTTGTGAGGATAAAGCGGATAAGAAAATGGATGGATGGATAATATATCGAATGTTCAGAGTGGTCAAGGTAACTTTATGTCGCCTGAGCATGTTGAAAAACAGGTTGTGGCAAAATTACGATGTTGAGTTTTCTTTCGTAGCCAGTAGGATGGATAGGATTAGAAATTAGCTCATCAGAGTATCATCTGAGGTTAAATGTTTTGGGAAAAAGTTAAGATGGTTTGGACAAATCCAGAGGAAAGAGTGAGTGTGTCAGTATAAGGGTGATGAGGATGGAGCTCTCAGGAAAGAGAGTGAGAAGAAGACCCAAGACAATGTTGATAGATGGGGTAAGGGAAGCCGGTGTTAGAGAGGACTGATGCAGAAGAAGGACATACAGTGATAATAATGATGATAATATAATAATAAAAAATTTTATTTGAAAGCGCTTTTCATAATACTCAAAGACACTTTACGACAAGAATTTACAACACGGGATAAAAATGTGCACTTTATAACAAAATATATACGTTATAAAACAAACGTATTTTGAAAAAGAAAAACAAAGCAAGAATTGGTAAAAGAAATTAAAAGAAGTAAAGGCATTGCGGAACAGGTGAGTTTTAAGAAATGGTTTGAAGGATTGGAGGTCAGTACAGTTGCGGATGTGTTGAAGTCGAGAGTTCCAGAGGATGGGGCGGCGACTGAGAAGGCTCGGTCTCCTCAGGTTTTGGAATTGGGTGACAGGCTTTGGCGACCCCTGACGGGACAAGCCGCAAGGAAGTGTAGAAGAAACATTTTAAAAACAACAGACGCCGACCAAAATGCTATTCAGATATAAGTATTCAAATGGGCATGAGTGAAGAAAACTGAACTATGCATCTCTATAGGTCAAACGAGTGCCACCAGATTTCGCTCTCACTACTGCAACCGGAAGTTCTACCAGAAGTTCTACCGGAAGTCGTAATGTTTGGCTTCCTGCGCCACTCACGTACAGAGCAGCCAGGAAGAGGCACAGGAGGGAGAAAAAAAAAAAAGAAAAGTCAAGATGGCAACAGGTCCAGAGAACGGACTAAAAAGAATAGTTTGGAAAAGTAAGTTCAATATTATAGTCAATCGTTCATTGTCCTTTTTAAACAGACTTTAAAGCAGTGAATTTGTGTGGTAGACATTTCAGCAAAGTACCAGTTGCTTCCTTTGTGACTTTGCATCGGCGAATGACAGTCTAGTTGTCAACTTTCACAGCGATGTGAAAACGCATTTAGGCGTATAAACAATGAAACAACGAGACGTTATTCTGATTCTTGGTCATTTAGGTGCTCTAACTTTACTGATAACAGCAATCCGTTTTTGACCAGAGTGACTGTCAGTCCGAAACTGGGTCAACGTGCTTTGAGTTTGATGCCACACCTCATGTCTTCTTGAAGACCGGTAAAAGAGAGTTCTGAAAATGATAGAATACAAATATCAGTTTCCAAGACCGATTAAATGTTCTACACCATCTAGAGACAATAATGTCATGTAAGCGCTTCTTAAACCTTCATGATAGTTAACTAACCTTTCCTATGAGACACTCACGAGAATTGTGTTTCAAGTTACCCAAAAATAACATGCTTTGCTGAGAGGTCCAATGCGGGCGTAGCATTCCAACCGTATTGTCGTATGCTTGGATGTAGAACTGCACGATATTGATACCACATTTTCATACACTAAAGAAAAAGACATATGCCCCCACCTCCGACAGACATTGTCCGACATGAAGTCAAACTAAACTAACTGTTTTAAATCAAAGGAATGAAAAATTGTCTGAAAAATACTAATGTTAACTCTAACATTCAGCAACTTGGAATAATTTTAGTAATCTTAATTGACTGAGAACAGAAAAAAGCTGACTTCGTGTCAGACAATGAACAATAAATTTGTCTTTCGTGTATGTAAACTTCAGGTTTCAACTCTCTCTCTCTCTCTCTCTCTCTCTCTCTCTCTCTCTCTCTCTCTCTCTCTCTCTCTCTATATATATATATATATATATATATATATATAAAAAATTAAGTAGGCGGCCCGGTGCTCCATTGGTTAGCGCATCGACCTCACAGTGCCAAGGTCGTGGGTTCGATACCGGCTCTGGCCTTCCTGTGTGGAGTTTGCATGTTCTCCCCGTGCCTGCGTGGGTTCTACTTTGAAACAGTAATTCATGCCTTGGTCACATCTCGGCTGGATTACTGAAATGCACTTTACTTTGGAGTCAGCCAATCCTCCATTAAGCGTCTCCAGCTGGTCCAAAATGCTGCTGTTCGCCTTTTGACCTGGTACCCGTAAGAGGGGAGCACATAGCTACTACTTTTGGCATCCCTTCACTGGCTCCTTATATATTTTAGATCTTTTAAGATCCTGTTATTTTCAAATCTTTAAATGGCCTCGCCCCACCTTACCACTTTGAGGTCTTCCTCCCTTACGCTTCTGCCCGGTGCCTCAGGTCTGTAGACCAGACACTTTTGGAGGTACAGTCATACCTCGGTTTTCGACCATAATCCGTTCCAGAAGGCTGTTCGAAAACCGATTTGTTCGAAAACCGAAACCACGCTCTTTTTAAAAAAAATCTTTATTGAACACGTCTGCTCTCTGCTCACAATGGAATGCTAATCCTTGTCTACCCGAGGGCGTCACTTCCTCGTGTAAGGAAGGTGAGGGGAGTCAAGTGGCGCATTCAAATGTGCTCACTTTGGTCGAGAACCGATTTTTGGTCGTAATCCGAGGCATGAAAAACTCGACATTTTTGGTCGAAAACCAAATTGGTCGAGAACAGAGACGTTCGAAAACCGAGGCTTGACTGTACTGAGAACTAAGCGTAGACAGGGGGTGGAACCTTTTCCGTTGCTGGTCCCTATGTTTGGAATAACCTTCCACTTAACGTTCGACAAGCCCTCTCACTGCCCATCTTTACAACTCGTCTTAAAATTTATTTTTATTCTTTGACTTTTGACTCAGCACTTGATTTTTAGTGTAACTGTTTTTGTGCTTTCTACTGTCTTTGTTATTAATTTATTGAATTATTGTTTGTTGTATGAATTATTTTTGCTCCATATATAGCACTTTGGATACAGTGGTGGTTATTTTAAAGTGCTCTATAAATACAGTTGAGTTGACCTACCAAATAATGCATTGTTGTCCTGAAAACAACCATTGCCTAACTTGATATCTGACATATTTTTGTTTTCATAGGAATTAAAGAAACCATCATTGAAGACTGCAGAAAATCAGAAGTATGGAAGGTAAGCAACCTTTCACTTTAGGTTTTGAATTTCTCATCTTTTTTTTTTTTTTTTTTAAATAGTTCCTGCAGTTGAAAGTACCATGAATCATATTGCAATATCATCAAACTCCTATTAATCTTCTCTGCAGATATTGATTCTGGACCACTTTACCACCAGGCTCCTGTCATCATGCTGCAAAATGTCTGATCTGATGTCAGAGAAAATAACAAGTAGGTTATTTAAAAAGTTAATAACAAGTCGGTTATTTAAAAAGTTGCAGGAATAATCATTTGAAATCTAACAAGACGCGATTCAAATGGAGACTTGTAGCTTTAGTTTTGGTGGCTTCGTAAAAATATAGCATTTAATATTTAGGAATTGCAGGCAGTCATACACCCACAATCAATAATATTTGAATTTTTAGGGCCTCAAAAGTATGTGTGCTAATCTTAAATTAAGAGCAGAGCTGTCACATGTTACGGATCTTCCATACTGTGTTACGGAAATCAATTCACTCTAACTTCTTACGCCGTTAACACTGATTAAATTATGGGTCAAATTGCTCAAACAAGTTAAAAATGAGCGCAAAATAATTGTGATAATTATTTGACAAGATGCCAGTTGAAGATGCGTCTTTGTTCCCAGTCCTCACTTTGTCTACTCGCCAATAGCGAAAGGAAACAGGGTGTGAATATTTCCCACGCTGGCGAAGGGCCAATTGGGCTGATCAAAATTGCCTGTGTCAAAGGTCCTGCCTGTGTGCGTTCATTCTAGCATGGGTGAATGGTGTTTTTTCTTTCAGTTCATTTCTGCACACAGAGGTATTGCTGCTACTGAAGGGATTCATTTTCACTCCACTCTAAAATGTAAAATGTTTCAATTGATTACTGACTGTGGGAGTCCGAAGGAGCTTCCGTCCACAGCTCCTGCTTGCTGAGCAGACAAGGCTTTCCCTTTTTAACTGTACTCTTACCTTTGTGGGCGGCATAGTGCACAATTGGTGAGCAGATCCGACTCACAGTGCAGAAGCGCAGGGTTCGATTCTGGCAACTGACCTTCCCTCCCACATGCTTAGATAGGCTCCAGCACGCCCGCGCCCCTGGTGAGGATAATTGATGAATGGATTTTACCTTTGTTGATGGATA